TACAAAACGCAACAAAGAACTAAAAATAACGAACGACAAAAAAACGCGGCGATACAATTTATTATCGCCTCTCAGAACGACTACAAAAACGCGACGTCACGCGAGAGATGAGAAGCATAGATAAATAATTATTTCCTCTATTATTGTTCTTCGGTATGGCGGTCAACATGTGTTTGTTGGAGTTTGAATTGCCGAGTACCAGGTTGAGGTTATGGTGTCTATTTGGATAGTTTTGAGTTGTAATTTAGCTTATAATAACGAGGTCGTTACGGTAATGTTATTGTTATTGCTGTTATTGTCTGCCGTTGTGAGTTCTTTGTTATTGATGTCATGTTTGCTATTGTGAGTTCTTTTTTATTGTTATTAATGTCACGTATGACTAATATTTGTAAGTTGTTTGTTATTATTATTATTATTAAAAATTTATAAGGCGCCTAAAAAACAAAAAGTTTCTCAAAAGTACTAATAGTGTTATGTTTGTTATTGTGAGTTCTTTGTTATTATTATCTTTAGTGTTGTTTGAAATTGTGAATTTGTTGTTGTGCTTTATGACATTTTCAACAGTGTCAGATATAGATATTTTTATAACATTGTCGATGTGTACTGTTACTATAACTTAGTAAGTATTAAATGTTATGTTCATGTGAGGATCTTAGTTGATCCCAGCTATTGTAATGTAATAAATGTTAAAGCATAGCAAGGCTAACTACATTAGCAATGTTAATAATCTGAGTGTTATCAGTTTGGTCCTTATAGAAAGTACCCTTATTTAAAGAAACTTCATAAAAAAGCTGAGGACACCGTTACAATGTAATGAACGAACAATTTTAATTTACAAACAAACACGATGAACAAACAAACATGATGAACAAACAAACACGATGAACAAACAAACATGATGAACAAACAAACATGATGAACAAACAATTATAATGAACTCTTTCAATTAAATTTATAACGAATGATCCAAACGCCAAATTAACAAACGATTAAATGAATAATATTATACAGCACCTACATTAAAATTGAATTTGTTTGAAAATGATGAATTAATTAAATTAGTGATAAAAAGATTTTAAGAGAAGCAAAAAAAAATTAACTGACCACTGCTCGTGACTCACGCCCCTTTCTTCTGCCAAGAAAAAATTTCTGTCATCCGGCTGAATTGCTCTTGCGTTCCTTCCGGCGGCTTGACCACCACCAACATCACCACTGCCACCACCACTACCACCACCACCACTGCCACCACCACCTCTATAGCCCCTTAAATTACTATTATCATCACCGCCAACAACGTCATCATCCAAAATACTCTGGTCCATCAGGCCACTATCATTATTGTTGTCATCGTGTCCATCACTGAGGTTATTAATATTAGTAATTGTATTTTGATTGTTGTTTTTTGAAACATCTTTTCTCTTCTCTGCTGTGTTTAAAATGTAGTTTGAAAATTTGTCGTGAGGGATCAATCGGGAAAGCTTGAGGGGTTCGCTAAGGACGGGGCTCGAGGTGGTCGCCTGTGGCTGGAAGTCGTCTGGAAGTTCATCGAGGCGTTGAAGTCTTTGCGAGTCCATATGCAGTTGTTGTGGTTGATGATGTGGTAGATGTTGTTGTTGTGTTTCTTGGTGTATTGGTGGTTGTTGTGGTTGATGTTGTTGTGGCTGTTGTTGTTGTTGTTGTGTTTCTTGATGCATTGGTGGTTGTTGTTTGTTATTTTCTATAGAGATCGTCGGTGCTGTTGAAGATGAAGATGACGACACCAGTGACGATAAGGGCAATTGCGAGTTGACGTTACTATTAACGTAATGATGTCGCCATTTATGAGTATGGTTAATGATTTAAAGATCAGATAAGTCAGTCATTTAGCTGTCATGAAAATAAATTAAAATTCATTTTTAGCAACTGATTAATTAATATAAACCTATTTAAATAAACAGATATTTAAAAATACATTCATTTAAACGCTACCACCGCTCAAACTTTTACAACTTTACCAACTACTACCACTATTACTACTTCTACAATAACTATTACTACTACTACTACTACAACTACTACTACCTCTATCGCTACTACTGCCACTACCACTCATTACCATTTCAATGTGACGATGGCGACGATGACGTCACAATTATGACGTAGATGGTGACGTATGTTTTCAATTTTACGGACGGCGAAAAACAGGATATTTTTAATAACGTCATTTTTATTATCCATTTACGATCAATTTTAAACACACTTATAATACGAAAAACTGTAATAAAATAAAAAAACTTGCTTGCGAGTGTGTTAGTGTGTGTTGGTGTTAGTGTGTGTGTATGTGTGCCTGTATATGACTGACTGATTCGCAAATTTATCTCTAAAATTGTGGCTAATGTTTTGTTTTATAACCCCGATCAGATGTCGTGATCAATATAATATCCTTTATTTACACGTAGTTACGGAGCTCAAAAAGATACTCTGATTTTCAAGGTAATAATTTAAAATGTTTCTTCATTACGAACTTAAAACATTTTAATTATACAATGACAAAAAAATTGTAACCGCTTGCATACAACTGCTGCTACTACAGCCGCTACACTACTACAAATCTACTACTACTTCTTCTGTTAATTAACTAAAGATCAAAATATGAGTTTAGTTATTATAAAAAATATCTATTAATTACGAGAAATATAGTATGAAAAAACTCAGAAAATTTAGTGAGGAAACTGCCTCTATTTCATTGTTAGCTATCCATTTGACTTGTGGAATTTGCACAATGCAATCCACTATCATTATATACATTATTGGTATTATTATTATTATTGTTATTATTATTATTATTATTATTGTTATTCAACTCAAATAGAAACCTCACCCTGGTACTCGGCAATTCAAACTTCTCTAAATCTAAGTAATATAGAACATTAAAATACTTTCAAAATCTTAAAAACAGTTTGCATGGAAAAGCTCAATTATGATAATAAATTCATTTGAAATTTCCCCGCTAGGCTTTTTTAAAAATTTTAAACTATCGTCAATTCTTTTTATTTGGTCTGACTATTTTCATGGATGAATGACCACGGTTTTATCAGCGTTAATGAGATCAAGTGAGAAAAATTAAAACTGAAATTATACGAATGAAACTAAAAAATTGTCCCGATTAATCTAATGAAACAAATAAAAGTTTTGAAAAATATTACCAAACCCAAAAATTACTTACATTTGAGGAAAATATACAGGGCGTAAGATTACAGATCGGCAGACAGGTTGCAAATGCATGAAATAAATAATTTTAAATGTATTTAATTATTTATTTAATATCCGTCTGTAAAATTATTTTTATAAATATTAATTTAAAAAACAAAATATTTTTTTTATTGTTAAAATATTTTGATGCTATTTTTGTACAATTTTAATTACCCAATTAATTAATTAATTACGAATAATTGAAAAGCAATTATTAAGCATCTAACAGTAGTTGAAAACAGAAATTCGAGAAGCCGACATCCGTCTATTGGAATCGACACGCGAGTTAAATAAAGCATCTGCATCGGTACTTGTAAATATATACACGCTTCGGAAGATATAATATATACTCATTCTCATATAGTTTATTATATAGACGTCCATGAGGCATTCTACATAACAGATCTAATTCATGCATTCTATACGATACTTTATGCAATTGGCAATGTATGCAATACCTGTTAATAGTGCGCGTGTATATTTTTGTTTATTTATAGTTTTGTATATTTCATTTTTCTTCTCTCCTTCTATTCTCTGTTTCTGCTTTCTATTACTCTATATTCTGCTTTTGTTTATTCATATACTTTTGTTTGTTGAATAAAACTTTTGTTGAATAAAACTTTGAAAATGAAATGAAAATATATATATATATATACTTTGCTCTTCGAATCATCCATTCTCACATTCTCACACTCTCTCTCTCTCTCTTTCTTTTCTATATCCTCGTTACATTACACTATCATTCTTGCTCTCTCACTTTTTCAACTATATCTCTCTCACTTGCGTCATTTCTGCTAACATTACCTGCCTGCAGTAAAACACCGTGGTTAAGCAGAAAATGTCCTACTAGATTTGCCACTGCCTACTTACTCACCCTACTCTACTACTTTCTTTTTTTTCACTCCTTTACGTCCTCCTCTTTTTTACCATCTCTCTTTCTTGCATTCAATGCAAAAACGCAATTGTTTTGGACTAATCCATTACAGGGAAATAAAAAAGCAATAAAAACTAATTTTATACCTCATCGTTACCTTGGCTCTATGCTGTGTTTTTGGATTGGTTCAATTTCCGCCTTGCGGTGTAAATTTTTGAATTACACGCCTTCCGTCAACGTGTGTGTGTTATGTGTGTGTGTGTGTGCGTGTGTTGTGTGTGCGTGTGTGTGTGTGTGTGTGGGTATGTGAATGTATATAGGTGTGTGTGTGCACATGTACGTTAGTATAGTATTAGTGTTGTGTGTACGTGCTATATTCAATGTGTGTATGTGTGTGTGTGCGCGCGTGTGTGTGTAGTGCATTTTTGTTTGTAAGTTAAGTTTGCATGAAGTTGTGGTGGTTGTACCTTTCATTGCTTTTGTTTCTGTTGCAATTTCGTTGTTTTGGTCACATTTTTATTTGGTCGCTGGCAACTGCCGCGAGATTGTCAGCCTCTTGAGATGATGGGATGGTGACGGCGAGATCGTTAATGTCATTGAAATGAGGCTATTGGCGTTGTAATTGCTGCTGTCGTCGTTCCTCGAATGAGTTATGCATCTGATGGGTTGGTTGGTTAGCTAGTTGGTATTCTTTTGTTGCAATATCTCATTATTTTGACCCATCGATTTTTCATATTATATTGTTGTCAGGGTGATGTTATTCGTCGTTATTGTTGAAACTGTCGCTAGTTAGTGAACTTAAAACGACAAAATCATAATGATAGTTTTGTTTATAAGTAATAATCCCTGATTACGGATTGTCGTATCATTGATCCTGAAAAGACTTATTGTTCTTATTGTACGGTGTTATTAATATTCGAATAAACTGTTTTCCATAATTTTTTATGTTCTTTGTTACTGAATAATAGTTTCGTAATTGTTATTGATAATTTTTCAGTCAACAAACCCGATGAAAATTATTTATAAACCTGAATTAGTTGTTGTTTTAACAAAACAACGAATACAATAATATAAATAATAATTATGATATTAATGATAAATAATAATAGAATAATGATAAAGTAGCATTTTAAGTGTCAGTATTCATACTGTTGTTAATAGTAATGGCATACAATGTGAATGTACAGACGTATAGCTGCGTCGTTTGACACGAACTGCCTCAAAACTTGAAGAGAAATAAAAGCAATAAAAGCCATAGAGTTATGATCTCAATTCACTTTTTGCCGAATCAAGTAAAGTAGAAGTATTAATTGTCATGTAGTTAGTAGTAGTAGTAGTAGTAACAGCAGCGGCAGTATTAGTACTAGCAGCAGTAGTTTTAGTAGTAGCAGTAGTAGTATAGCAGCAGTAGTAGAAGCCATTGTAGTTGTAAGACTATCAATTAAAATTTACAGAAAACCTGAAAAATTATTAGTATTCTTTATTATTATTAACATTATTAATTATGGTTAATAATAATTTCAGTATAGTAATCCTAATGACGTTTATATAAAACGCTGTTATAAAATTAATTGCAATCACCTATAAAGTTTATAGTATAAACTTTATACAATGCAATACGTGTACACCGTGATAGGAACGACTGCTTCACGAATCCCCAGTGTTACTTAAATTAAGTTATTAATATTCAAAATTTATAATTAGCGCTATTAGTAATCTCGTTAAATAAGTAGTAATTTTAATTAATTAATCACAATCATTAGTTTAATTAGTAGTAACACAATGGTAGTCTCACTACATTTCCATGGTTACCAGCCAATTCGATTCATTTGAGTGTAAATGTGAATTTATGTACATAACAGTCCTCATCCTAAATTATCATGGTGAATATCTATATTTTTATACAATCTGTTTTAGTACATTGAACTCTATTATAATTTTGGTTTTGGTGGCCATACTGATGATTTTGTTTCATTTCAATGTAGACATGCACCAAAAAGTAAATTTTTAGGAGTAGCTACTATTCAGTCAAAGCCAAAGGTTTGAATACCAAAGAACACAAAATTTTGAGAGAAAAAATCCATTTTTAGAATGAAATACAAGCTATTAATCTATCCAACAATTCTCTATTGAGAAACTATTCAATGACATGCAAAAGCTCTGAGTCAGACGTTTTGCAGCTATGATGACCAAAATAAATTAGCCGCTAATTATAAATCAACAATTATTGTTTTGAAATCCTAAGAAGTGATGGCTCAATCGGAAATTGAACTATTCGGCTATCCGACTTTAAAAATGGCCAAAGCCAAACGTCAAATTTCGTCCTGTTATGTGCGTCTTTGTACGCTACTACTACTACTACTACTACTACTACTACTACTACTACTACTACTACTACTACTACTACTACTACTACTACTATTACAAAGGTAGTAGTAGTAGTAGTAGCAGTAGTAATAGTAGTAGTAGTAACATTAGTTGACCACTACCAATAATAAAATTGTTAACATTACAAGTATTGCGCCTCTGACATAGGGCGCTCATAAATGACATTATTATTATTATTATTATTATTATTATTGATTTTATCAACATCCTTATTTATACAACAATTTCGTCGTCATATAGTATTTACTGTGATAGAAATGCAAATTGAATGAACCATTTAGGACTAACCTTCTCTCGTTGTACACATCCTTTTTATAAGATGACGAGCTTCGGAGATTAATTCAAGACATTTTACTATATACATATATATTTTAATTTTGATTATCATTGACAATTATTGTTTTTTTCATTTCATGTACGTTTTTACGATGAAAATACAAAAGTGTTCTCATTATTAGCTGTAGTAGTGGTGGTGGTGGTAGTAGTAGCAGTAGTAGTAGTGGTAGCAGCAGGAGGAATAGTAGCAATTATGACCGTGATAGTAGTAGTAGTAGTAGTAGTAGTAGTAGTAGTAGTAGTAGTAGTAGTAGTAGTAGTAGTAGTAGTAGTAGTCGTAGTAGTAGTAGTAGTAGTAGTGGCAGAAGTAAAAGTAGAATTGAGCAATAAAAATTTGAAGTATTATGTGTCGCACGATTGGCCATAAAAATAATTACTACATTGCTTTCACGTGGTTTGCCTGGTGGTGGCCGGCCGTAGAAACGCGCTCAAGCAATAGTAGCA